GGTAAAGATAAAGTAGGATAAATGCAATTTTGCCCTTTTGCAAATTGTGCTTTTAGGCGGGCCTTTCCAAGTAAAAGGCTAGAGCCGAAAGCGATTGTCCACACACAGACGGCCACCAGCCCAGCAGTAATGTCTCATAGCAACAGGTTCTTGTTCACGAATGGCGTCGTATCACCGTCACCAGACACCCCACCAGTTACAACCTTACTCGAAGCACACCCTGGTACGCATTTCTCCAATTACCCTAAAATTCCCATTTGTTTGATATCCTTTTTTACGCAAAAAGGATTTCAAACTGAGAAGAACTAATGAATTTTCAGGTGCATATACGACGACTCGTACTCATAGTAACGGTTCAGAACTCTTGTTCTGGGGTAGACATTTAACCAGATTGTCGAATTCTATAAAAATATTATTAACTGCCCGCCCTAAACTTCTGTTTGAAAACCCAGAGAAAAATGGGGTTCCGTTTTTGGGATTTTTGACACGATCAGTGAATTGGGATTCAGCTATTGAGGTTTTAGTTAATGATTCGATTAGAAAATCATTGCCCACTGCGTTGAAAGAGAGGAAATGTGGGGAGGAGTTGGCGATTACGACACTTGTGAGTGGGAATTTGGAGAAATTGAGTGATTCTGGGGTTGAGTTTGATGAAGAAAGTATTTGTAAGCTTTTGGATGTATATTTGCACATAGCTGGGTATGTTCCGCCACTCTATGGCGTTCCAGGAAATGGGGCACGTTTGGCTGTTGTGGGGCCTGGAAGGGATGTTGCTACTGCAAAGTATTCGGATTGGGTCAGGTAATTCTGTGTTAATGAGAACGCTAAATTGCATATTCCTTTTTTGTTGCTTATCTTAGCAAATCTAACTTATACGTGTGTAAATGAGAATGCTACATTGCATATACATAGAACAGTTTTTCGGTTTGGACAATGTTTAATTTAATTTTATAGGTAGGCTAAGGAAGTGTTTGGAGAAGCTGAGACCACCTTCTATTACTGAACTTTTATTGTCAAGTGATGGTGATCGAATTTTGGAAGGCTGTTTGACAAATTTTTTTGTTATTTGTCTGAAGGTGAGAGGTTAAATTTTGCTATATGTTAATAAATTGTCTTTAGCTTTTTCTGGCTCGTGTTATGAATTGACGTGTTATCTTTCACTAAGAATAGGATGAGATGTATGCTGTTTTGAAGTATTAAGTTTGTATTAGTAAAATTGATCTAGAGACTGCACCATCATTTTGAATTTCATTAAATTTAAGAACTACAGGAAGGAAGTAGGAGTCTTTACTATACATAATATGAGTGGATGTGCATATATTCATCTGCTAGTTTGGTCTTTATATTAACTTGCTTTACTGTTATATCTGTGGCGCACTTTTAAGTAAATACAAACTGATTGAGATTGAAACATAATTATGCACAAGAGACTTCTAAGACCATGTTTACGCATAATCAGATCCATCAGTAATTGAGGGATTTTTTAGGAGAAACTATAGTGGTTTCTCAAGTTTCCTTGATAGTTGATTGAATTAGACAGTAATCAACTATGCAGAGACAACTGTACTTTTATACCCTATAAATATTTGTCAGATCAAACCTTTTATTGGAAGGACTTGTAAATTGAAGTTTAAATTAAATTTCTTTTTGTCCGAGGGTCATGGCTTTTATAGTC